AGCCTCATCGGTCGGCTTCTCCACATTCTCCCCGGTGCCGCTGCCTTCTCCAACTTCGGTCCCGGAAGATAGTCGCTCCAACACCTGCGACTCCTTCATCTTAGTAGCAGCTTCAATGGCCCCATCGGGCACCGGAATGAAATCATCACGAGGGTCAGTCAGCTTTTCTACGTCATCTTCAACCGGCGTGACTACCTTCACCACTTCAACCTCCTTATCGGCCGACCTTGCCTTCTCCTCGATGTACGCTTTGACCCGGCTATGAATTTGTTCGGGAGTCATGTCGTCGAAATGCTGTTCGACCTCCACCTCGGCCAAAGTTGAAAGGTACACGTCGGCCAGCTCCTTCCTTTTTTCCTTCTCCTCCTCTAAGATCATGTTGACGTAAGCACGTCGGAGGAGAGCAACCCTATCCTCGGAGAGCGGCGGTAGATCAGGATTTGCATTCATCTCCTTTGAACGACGGAGCATCCATACACAGAAATCCCGTTCATCTTCATCAGCCGCCACATGCATTCCCTTTATCTCCGAGTCAAATCCATACTTCCCCAATTTATGGAAAAGAAACAAGCGAAGGTCGTCAATATCGTAGTAGCCGGCATCATAGCGCTCAATGACCCATCTCAGATTCAAGCAGGTGTTCATTTCAATCTCGAGATCGGGCCCACCGACTTCGTCATCTTCACCGGCCTCAGCAGCTTCCATCTCGGCATTGCCACCAGACTTCGGTTCAGCGACAACCGAATCTTTCCCGGCTTGATAACCATTCTCATACATAAACTCGCCGTAAGATGATTTCTCCCTCTCAAGTTTGGCCATCTCAGCCTGATGAGCGTCTTTTTGCCGACCAACAAGTTCGCGAGTCTCAGCACATTCTTTGCGAGCTGCATCATAATTAGCCTTTTCCTCCGACAAGGCCTTCTCGGTTTCCGCCAGTTTAGCCTCAGAAATTTTGAAATGTTGCTCCACCACGGCAAGGCGTGCTTTGAGATCTGCCACTTCGGCCTCATATGCCTTCTTCTCCTCTGATAATGTCACAGTCTCAGCCTTTGCCCTCTCCAACTCGGCAACCTTCTCAGAAATCTGGCCCTTCAAGTCGGCCTCCATCTTGGCGGATTCTTCCTTCAATTGGACGATCACCACATCACGCGCAGCTATGATATCCTTTTTTCCCTCCAATTGCGACGCAACTCGGCGATGATCGTCTTCGGCAGCCACCAAACTGACCAAGGCCCTGCCCACACATGACTTGGCATAACTCAGCCTATCAACGCTGGACAGAGAAGAGACTCCCACCTCGGATTTGGGGTCCCAAACCATCAGCGGAACCCGAGCAGCGTTTCTGGCATTCTCTGGCATCTCGATCCTTGACGACATATGCGGAGTCTTAACGGACTGGAAGGTGGTGAACCACTCTTCCACAACACCTTCGGGCACTTTAACGTTGGCAGCCCGCTCTTCATCTATGGATAAAAAAAGACTTCTCAAACAAAGGAGAATCATCCATACCTTTCTCAGTTGCTTTACGACCGGAGTCGTGTTTTTTCTTCGACCTTTTCTCCACACCAGAGGAAGCACCAACATCCGCCATCTTCACCAATTTTCTCTTCTTCCTCCTCTCCGGTTGCTCCAATTCCAGGGACTTCGGAGAAGATGGTGTCACTTCGGTATGAACAACCTCAGCCGTAATCATTTCGGTCCCAGCTATGATTGGTTCAGGGTCTGCTTGGTTAATCGCCGCAGCCTCCACTACTGGCAACACTTCGGTAGTTGCCACGTCTGGCACAGACTTCGGGTTTTTAGGCATGGCGGCCGAAGTCGCACTCGACCCCACCTCGGTCGACTTCTTCCCAGTATTTTTTTGACCGGCAGTCTTCTTCACTAACGCACGAACGAGATCTCTCCTCATGGCGTCGTTCAATCTTAAATCTCGACTCTTACCAACTTTGGACTGAAGGTCTCTATTCGGAAATTTACGCCTAAACTCCTTGGCTTCCTTGACAGAGTTATATCCCAGAAAACCGAGGAGGGGATAATACACTGCATATCGACAAGGGATAAATAAAGTTACAAACAGCTGTTCTACGCATATGAAAAATTCGACAAAATCGTTACTGGTTAAAATTCTCTTACCGGGGTCAAACTTCAATGTAGTAACTCCAAGAGACAAACCAGCCGCTTCGAGTTTTGAGTCTATTAAAAGCTTGCGATAATCCCTGTCTTCTTTATTCAAACCGGCCAAAGTTATCAACTTCCCACCGAATTCCGGACTCAACTTCGGTTCTTTTTGCTTAGTCTCTTTTTCTACACAGAGCAAAAGTTCTGACCTGTTAGTACATAGAACAACACCGAAATCAGGAAAGTATATCCGAATTGAAAAAAAAATAAAACAAACTCACTGGCTCCGGAATGAATTAACATGGGGATTGTCATCCCATCAATTCGGTGCTCGTGAAAGAAGTCCTCTGACTGCCACTCTCCTCCAATCCATAACCATTCCTCCTGGAAGCCATGAAGACTCTCCGGAATCTCGGTCACTATTTCCCCGACTTTAACGCCGTGCTGCGGTTTCGCCCCGGCAAAGAAGCAACAAGAAGACTCGGCAACCCTCCTCTTCGGACTTTGTTTAAACGCAAAGATGCTCCTCATCTCATCACACGACGGAAGTCCTTCACCTCTCTCGTGCAGCAACACCATCAAACCGATTATCTTTTTCCAACTATTCGGTGTAATCTGGCACAACGGTAACCCCCAACTTCGGAGGTATTCCGTAATCAAACTCGGGAGTGGAAATCTTAATCCCGACCTCAAACTCTCTGCAAAGACACCCACACAACCTGGAGGCGGACTTGTTATCCTCTCCCCGGGATAAGGGGCGAAAATTTTTACCGAGGGAGGGATCCGCACTTGTTCTCTCAGCAATACAACATCTGCATCGGTCAAGATACTTGGTTCCCCGATAAAATCGACCGCGGGATCGGGCCACTTCCTCACCGGTCTTCTCCAATGGGGCACCACGAGGTCGGCTGCGTCATGTTCTACG